AAATTTGAAATGTAATGCAGGGAATTCTGGGAATGTCAATTTACGGTTATTCCCTGTAAATTATACGGTCTTTTTCACTTCCTAAAACGGTATACTACCGTAAAATTACATGTAATGTCCAATACAGTTTGTCACCGTATATAGTAGGGGAATTTACCGTTAACCATTTAACAGGTTTTTACTGTAGCATTTTTACAGTCTTTTACCGTTAAATTCACGGTCATTTTTTACAGTGTACACACATAGGCTATCCTTTTCTTTCAGGTCTTCTGTCATTAATAGAGTGAAAGGGCTCATGGTAGAGCGGACAATCGTTTCATCTTATTTTACAGGTAGAGGCACAAATACAAGGGTAGATCAGATATAAAAGCAGGCTAATGGATAGCGGGATTCCTGGAGCTAAAGTAGAGAATTACTATCACTTCACAGCGGTCAGCTAATGCCTATTATGAGGACAAGACCAGCACTGCTGAATGCTTATTAGTGATGGACTGATGTGACTGCAAGGCTCTAATAGTTTAGCATTTTAAGGTGATCAGCATTCACTGACGGTAGCGTTAGCGCTTTCTAGAGTCGGTTACAAAATCTACCAATACCCTATAGTAATGCAACAGTACAGATGCTTGTTTCAGATACGGACACATGCCTCAGATGTGAAAGTTATGCCAAACGCCATCACCTTACAGATTTTCTCTGCTATAAAACTGCAGGCTTTACAGTAATCCACTATTCACTGACTATAGTATGGAAGCTTGTTTCTGCCATGGGATAAAAAAAACAATGCTACATCTTGCAATTCTGACTTTATATCTCACAATTCCTATATCTCAGAATTGGAATAAAAAAAGTCTGAAATGTGAGATAAAAAAAGTTGTAATTACCTTGTTTCATTTGTTATCCTGTGGCAGAAATGGACTTCCATACTATAGTCAGTGAACTATATAAATATAAATAAAAAAAGGCTTCCTGCAGTTTTCAGTCAAAATAAAAGTTTGATGGTTTAATATTTGAAAACGAATAAATTAAAAGAGCCATACATATTAGTATTTTAATGTTATTGTTTTAATGTAAAATAAAATGATTATTATTATTATTACTACTACTACTTCTAAAATTATATTATTTTTCTTAAATGATCCATTTTTAATTTGACTGTAAAACATAGTAATATTTTTTGTTTATTTTTATATTTACTACTACTACTAATTATTATTATTATTATTATTATTTTGTCAAATATTGAATCATTCAAAACGTTTTTTTTTTTTGGTAAATGAAAACATTTTCATTAAATTTCAGCACATATCTGTACATCACAGTTGCTGTTATTAAATTGCATTAGCCAATATAAATATATATAATATATATAATATATATATTAGCCATCCCACTCACTTAATGTGATATTATAGAGATCAGTGTAGTGGAAATTGCCATTAAACAGTCCATCTTACCTAAGAATGATCTGTAATTATTCTGAAACCAGTGGTGAAAATACATGTGTTAACTGATGATAAACTACTGATAGTTTTTTTCTGCTGTAGATCATTTTGTCCAAGGCTGCAGGATAACAGGTTTTAATAGAGAGCATTGATAAACACATAGCGATGTGGTTTTGGTGACACTGGTGGCGTCACGTGTCTCCTGTGCTTTACAGAGTGATGCTCGGTTGCCATGGAGCTCAGGACACAGTTCAGGGACGCAGCACTGCCTCTCCTGATGTTTGATCTTGATTCTTCCAGTGCTCACATGCATGCATTGATTCTGTGATATTTCTGCATGTGTAGAATCATTTCAACAAAAATCACAAAACGTTGCATATTACGCATTCTTTTTGGAAGCCAGCAGAAGTCTGAGGAGTAAAACCGGAGCGTTTGCTCTCTACCTGATGAATGTGGAGTCAAACTGTGAGAAGCAAAACAAACAACAAACAGCTGTAGAGCACAGATGATGACTCAGATCGCCTGGAAAATATCTGCAAAATCATAATGATTCGACTCAATCAGCCTAGTTTTGTCAATTTAAATTAGTCAGTATGAATCTGAGTTACGCATTTGAAAATGAATAAAGCAGAGCTTTCTCAACAATATCAACACCGGTTATATCTTCAGTCAGATTTGGCAGTATTTTATATTAATTAATTGTATCCTACTGTATCATATTTGATAGTAAAATGTCTAATAACATGATCAAAACTTTGCCGTTAAACCTGTTTCACACACAATCTACACCATGCCTTCTGTCGTCTGATTGATAGTTTAGACTTTTTTCTCTAGTAAAAGCTCTTTTAGTATAATTGTACAAACGTACACCTTCAGCTCGTCAAATCTTTACTGATTTTTATAAGAATAACTTCTCATGTTGTTAGTAATATTTCAAGATGCACATTTTTTTTACTTGACATCATTTTTTTAGAAAAATCATGTTCAAATGTGAGTCTCAAATCTGATCATCAGGCTTTTGAGAAACATTTATTTGTTCATCTCTCAATCATCATTGCGTTGCATTGTACTATATGTTTTGAATCTGACTAAGAAATATTCTATAGAGTGACGGCTGATATATCATTTTATGTAAGTATCTGCTGTACTGTTATAAAGATCTCACTGATTTACAAGCTATCAGAATTCCATCGTACTTTTTGGTCACATAAATATCTGCATCTGCACCAACTTGCGTATTTTTACTCAGTTTGTACTTCTAAATAAAACTGAACAGTTTTTTCCTCCCGTATTCTGACTATTATTTCATATGTCAGGCTATACAGGGTTAAGTTTGAACATTTTCCCCCAGTAATCTAAATACCGTGAATTTGATGTTCTAAAATATCTAGTTTTTGGAATGCTGGCATCTAGAATAAAAATACTCTGTTAGAACTAGTTCCAAATTTTAATTTGAATCCCAATGTGAATCCAGAGCATATGTCTGATTACATTTCTGTTGGATTACTGATAAGGGACACGGGATGTTATTGATAGCCTGAACAGTTTAGAGTAGGTTAAATCCTAACAAAGAAAACACATGGATCACACAAACACACACACACACACACACACACACACCTGCAGCTGGATTAAGGAAAAGCCTCTTACATGCACCTGACACACACACACACACACTGGCTCCATACATCAGCTCAAGACATTATCACAGAAACACAGATAAACACATGCATTACAGCAGTGATCAGCACGCAGCCCATCATCATCATCATCATCATCATCACTCACGATCAGAGGAAGAGTGCGCTCCTCCAGCCTCCCTTTCTGCCCGTGGTTCTTCAGCTGGGAGCCCGACGACGAGGAGGAGGAGGAAGGTTTGCTGTCCTGCCACAGGTAATAGAAGGTGCCGAGGATCCAGGCCACGGTGAGGATGAGGATGGCGTTGGCCCGAATCCTGCGCATCATGAGCGGCTCTGAGCGCTTGGCGACCCGCTCCGAGTGTGTGATGTGCTGTCGGCGGTGATGATGATGACACTCAGGTCCTAGAGCCCGTCTCTCCTCACACATCACTTCACTGTAACAGTGAAACTGCGCCAATAATCGAGCGACATCATCGGTGCGACACTACAGTTAGTTGTTGAAAACAAACTAAAGTGTTTTTACCATGTGTACGGTTTATTATTATCATGACATTCTATTTAAACTCTTAAACACAGCTATCCTTTGTCCGTTCTTTCTTTTTCTTTTTCAACAAATGATTGTTGAAAGGGTGGTTCAGATACAATAAATGCGACTGATTGAAAGTAAACAAAAGCTGCTTTATTTCCTATTCATTTTAAAGGGGTCATATGATGGGATTTCAGTTTTTCCTTTCTCTTTGGAGTGTTACAAGCTCTTGGCGCATAAAGAAGATCTGTAAGACATTCACAATTTTGTAACCTGGTTGCCAGAGAATTAGACAAAATGTCTAAAATGTAAAGACAAAATATGCAAAAATGGGTCATATATAAGTAGTGTTGCAGGTTTAGCTTAAGATATCATTCAGAAAGCGTTAGAGTCAGTCAAAATGTTATTGATAAACTTAGATTTCTAATATAACATATTCTAAAAAAAATTTATCATTTCATTTCATGCTATGTTAATTTTGTTACATTATGTACACTACCCTGTATAAAATGCATATTAATGACATCAACAAACAATATATAATGCTTAATAGATCAGTATTTCAAATATACACTAAAATTCAAGATTTTGAAATGTTTTAATTAAATGTTTTCACCAATGCTGCATTTAAGTGATCCAGTAAAAGCAGTACTATTATGTAATGTTATATTACATTTAAAAATCAGGCTGTCGGGGCAGGTTACAGGTTGTTGCACATCAGCAGGATCTAACTCCAGATAGCTGCTCTGGCAGTCCAAAACCGGTCTCTTTTCTCGAATGAGATCATTACAGCCCATCAACAGCTCTGATAATGTGCCACAGCTGTTTTTCAGATTAAATTAACATTGCATAATGTTACAAAGGCAAAAAAAAAAAAAAAATCCAGATGTGTACTAAATTGGTCTCATCTAATATACTGATATCTAAGAGAAAATAGCCAGGCATTTGCGTCAAGGAAACCTTTTAAAGAGGGATACACAATACTAATATTAAAAATGACAAGAAAAGCGGAAACACAATAAATTAAATCCATGGAAAAATGATTCAATGCTTTTTCAAATCAAATACAATCCGCTCCATTTGTTGATTTTTCTACATCAGCACCCTGCTCTCCAACCAACCATCTTATATCCATTAAAATATTGTGTATTTAAGCACAACTAATGCTGTATGATCAAATCAACATTCAGAAGCAGAACTATCCATTTGAAATGTTAACATCTGCTAGATTGGACTGTAAGATTATTTCAGAGCAGATTTTTTGTTTTCGTGATGTTGTGAGTCTGCTGGAGCTCAGCTCTTTACATCAGCTCTGTGCACTTTTACAATGTATTGATGAGTGTAACATCTGTGATTTTCTCCGCTGTTCTCCCACTCCTCTAGAAGCTGAAAGGATCAACAAGACCCACCTGATCCTGGAGTCTCCAGAATGAAGCGCATGAAGCAGAGCCACAGCCGACATTCACAAGCCTTGTGTCAGCACACAAAGATCTCCTTTCCTTTCTCGCTTTCTCTTCTGCTGGCTCAAGTGTGCAGAAATTCTTGTCTTCTGTTTTTGAAAATTAAAAAAAAAACAAAAAAAAAACACCCACAACACCCTAGCAACCGTACTGCAATGTGCATCAAAGTTAATCACAAATAACTTTTCTACAAGCTGAAGTAAATACTAATATATGGAAGGTGCATGGTGTCATACACACAAGAAAATAATGCAATATACAGTGTATATATATATATATATATATATGATATGATATATTCATATATACTAAGAGGAAATGGTTATTTCAGTGAAAGACAATAAAATGTGAGGTGTCATGCAGGGAATTCTGGGAATGTCAAATTACAGGTTTTCACTGTTCAATTCAATACAATTCACATTTATTTGTATAGTGCTTTTCATGATACACTGTAAATTATAAAATAACAATTTTAAATGACTTTTTCACTTCCAAAACTGTAGATTTATCAGTATTTACTGTAACATTTCATGAAATGTCCCATTTATTAGTTTTTCATAATATAAAGGGAAATTAACCGTTAATCAGTTAAGAGGTTTTTAATGCAGCGTTTTTAACAGTGTTTTAATGTCAAAATTACAATCTTTTTTTTTTTTTAAGTCGCCCTTGACTGTGCGTCTACAGTGTTTTTACAGTTCCTGACTAGAGTCAGCTTCTAGTATTCTAGTATTATATCTGCAGGACTTTTTTGACTGCTGCACTGCAAAGATAACATTCTCGCAAGCAGCAGCCTCCAAACACAATAAAAACACTGAGAGAGGACTTGGTGGTGCAATCAAAAGTTCACGTTCAGTGTTTCAAATAAGCAAGATTTAGCAACTATCTGCCAAGGTTTGATGTGAGATGACTGGCTCCTCCTCAGCGTGACTCATGTAGTGTAGCAGAATGATGAGGCTTTAGCAGCATCTTGGAAGGAGCAGAGGCTCAGAGTATCTGTGCTTTGTAGCATGTGCTGGTTCTGCTGCTCAAGCCGGTGTTGTTTTGTTAGCTCTTTGACCTTGGCTTTTTGAAAATTAAAAAAAAAACAAAAAAAAACACCCACAACACCCTAGCAACCGTACTGCAATGTGCATCAAAGTTAATCACAAATAACTTTTCTACAAGCTGAAGTAAATACTAATATATGGAAGGTGCATGGTGTCATACACACAAGAAAATAATGCAATATACAGTGTATATATATATATATATATATATGATATGATATATTCATATATACTAAGAGGAAATGGTTATTTCAGTGAAAGACAATAAAATGTGAGGTGTCATGCAGGGAATTCTGGGAATGTCAAATTACAGGTTTTCACTGTTCAATTCAATACAATTCACATTTATTTGTATAGTGCTTTTCATGATACACTGTAAATTATAAAATAACAATTTTAAATGACTTTTTCACTTCCAAAACTGTAGATTTATCAGTATTTACTGTAACATTTCATGAAATGTCCCATTTATTAGTTTTTCATAATATAAAGGGAAATTAACCGTTAATCAGTTAAGAGGTTTTTAATGCAGCGTTTTTAACAGTGTTTTAATGTCAAAATTACAATCTTTTTTTTTTTTTAAGTCGCCCTTGACTGTGTGTCTACAGTGTTTTTACAGTTCCTGACTAGAGTCAGCTTCTAGTATTATATCTGCAGGACTTTTTTGACTGCTGCACTGCAAAGATAACATTCTCGCAAGCAGCAGCCTCCAAACACAATAAAAACACTGAGAGAGGACTTGGTGGTGCAATCAAAAGTTCACGTTCAGTGTTTCAAATAAGCAAGATTTAGCAACTATCTGCCAAGGTTTGATGTGAGATGACTGGCTCCTCCTCAGCGTGACTCATGTAGTGTAGCAGAATGATGAGTGTCCCATTTATTAGTTTTTCATAATATAAAGGGAAATTAACCGTTAATCAGTTAAGAGGTTTTTAATGCAGCGTTTTTAACAGTTTTAATGTCAAAATTACAATCTTTTTTTTTTTTTAAGTCGCCCTTGACTGTGCGTCTACAGTGTTTTTACAGTTCCTGACTAGAGTCAGCTTCTAGTATTCTAGTATTATATCTGCAGGACTTTTTTGACTGCTGCACTGCAAAGATAACATTCTCGCAAGCAGCAGCCTCCAAACACAATAAAAACACTGAGAGAGGACTTGGTGGTGCAATCAAAAGTTCACGTTCAGTGTTTCAAATAAGCAAGATTTAGCAACTATCTGCCAAGGTTTGATGTGAGATGACTGGCTCCTCCTCAGCGTGACTCATGTAGTGTAGCAGAATGATGAGGCTTTAGCAGCATCTTGGAAGGAGCAGAGGCTCAGAGTATCTGTGCTTTGTAGCATGTGCTGGTTCTGCTGCTCAAGCCGGTGTTGTTTTGTTAGCTCTTTGACCTTGGCTTTTGAGCTTAGCGTGTGACCTGGTCATTGCCAATTACACAACAAATCATAATTGTTCTCAGAATCAAAGTTATTATAGTTAACTAAAGCTAAAACTAACTTGGTCTAACTTTGGTGTACTAACAAACTAAAACTGAAATAAAAAGTCAAAAACGGCACAGACAAAAAAAAAATTACAAAAACATTACAACATTTTTAAAACCTTAAAATTAAAGTGAAAACATAAAATATAAAATTAAAAATTAAAATCCATAAAAAACTTTTGTTACTTGATCTAAAGTATAACAACATATTACTTAATGAAAATGAGCTGGAATTATTTTTTATAAGTTAATGTACTTAAATAACTAAAACTTAAATAAGAATAAAAACCAAAAACAAATTAATAACCATATTATAGACACACACACACAAACACACAATAATTACTAAAACTTAAATTCAATTTAAACTAAAAACAAAATATATAAAATAAAACCTAATTTAAAATATTAACAAACAGTTTAAACAAACCACACTGCACTTAATAGAAGATGCATGTTTATTAGATTTGTCTTTCACCTCAGAATTAATGTACAATCTACACAGTCACATCCATTTCAACCAATACATTTCAGGCCTGTTACAAAGGTTCAATGTAAGCGTGCCTTTGTTTGAGCAACAGTTCAGCTCATGGTTTACAGTTAACTGAAAGCACAAGCATCTGACAACAGTGTTAATTGGACAGATGTATTAGAAAGCCAAAAAATACTGCAGCCTGTTTGGGCGACACGACTGCACACATAGGTGAAACATTCCTAACAGTAAAGACAGCGTGTTAATAATAAATTAAAGCCACTCAAGTAGGGCTGTGCAATTAATCGCATGCGACTGTCATGCGCATCTCGTCAGTAAAGCCGGTTCCGTGATTAGTAGTAAATCTCCATCACCTGCTTTCAGATGGAGCGGCATTTACTACACAGAGCCGTAGTTCACTGACAAGCTATGCAATATCACGTTCATTATCGCAGGCGATTCGATTTGCAATAATGAACTCGATATTGCCTAATTGTCAGTGAACTACGGCTCTGTGTAGTAAATGCCGCTCCATTTGAAAGCAGGTGATGGAGATTTACTACTAATCACGGAACCGGCTTTACTGATGAGATGCGCATGACAATCGCATGAGATTAATTGCACAGCCCTACACTCAAGTAACCAGAAGAGAAAAAGTGGCATGCTACAGTGATTGTAGAGTCACCGCTCCGCTCTCCAAACCCTCATACAACCCAAACCACTAGAAACATTAGATGACACTCCTTTGTTAAAAAACATACACATCCAGACTTCTAGCCGTAAACAAGTTATCTTAGAAACTAGAGGAAGCATTCGTCTTTCCATCTGACAGCCTATAGCAGAAAAACACTGTGAAATTTACAGTAAAATATAGCTACGCCAGAAGTTGCCAGCCAGTTATTGTAATTGAATTATTTCAGAATGCAGAAAAATACTGTATTTTTAATAATACAGTAATTTACCAGACTGCAATTTAGTGGAAAAAATTACAGTATTACACTGGTAAATGCATTTGGTAAACTACCGTATTACTAAAAATACAGCATTTTGTCTATATATAACTTGTAATTAACATTAGGACAACCCTGTCGCCAGTATTTGACTGTAAATGATCTGCAGTGTGCGCGCCAGTGCTGACCTTTCTGTAGAGGGGCCACATTAAGGTTTTTATCTGGAGTCTGATTTCATCTCAGGCTAACAGAGTGAAGCAGAGCAGCTCAGAGTAACAGTCCTGAACACCTGAAGGTGCACATAAACACAGGCCTTTCCTCGCCACTAAAGGCATTGGACAAAGCGTCATGTTGAATGAAAAGCTGCACTGTACGCAAAGAAGAAAAGGTGGGATGTGAGGGAATAAGTGCTTCTCAGGGGAAAGAGAGACGCCAGGGTCTGTGTTGTGCATTCAGGCAAAGCTTTCAAAGTAATACACTTTACAAATCTGAATTTAGTCTCACTGTCCATAGTTTTTTTTTACTTTGGAAGTTGATTTATTTTCATCAGACAGACGTGTCGGCTTTTCCATTCCACTGGAAAGAGTGAGAGAAATAGAAAGAGAGAGTGGTTTCCTTCGTTGGCGTTTTCACACAGACGCGTCACGTTTGCCGAGCTCTCTGTGCTCAGTGTGTTTGGTGTTTCCGGCGTCTCCGGACTGCAGGCTTGACTACTCCGCTGGACACACGCTGCGATCTTTACAGCAGAAGTAGTGAACCACCACTCCGTTTGGATACCTGGCAAAGGCACTGGATATGAAGAGGACACAGAAATGTAAATATTCATACAGTAAATTCCTCAAACAGTCCCTACATCATAGTTAGCACTAATAGAGTGAAACTGCACACTTGATCAGCGGCTTGTTTTTGGAAGAGTTTTTCAGACTCATTCTTTAATAAAGAGCGACAAGCTTGTAGAGGTGAAGCACAGCATTACAGACAGTGATTTCAGGAACATAAAAAAAAAAAAAATTAATGACTCAATTATGTTATTAATTACTACCTCTATGGTAAGACTATCTCTTCTCTGATTGGTGGAACCCTAACAGTCAGGGTCTGGCAGTAAAAGCTCCATTCATGTTCTCCATAGGGAAATTTTAACAATAACTTATAAACCTTTAAAGGGGTCATATGATGCTGCTAAAAAGAACATTATTTTGTGTATTTGGTGTAATGAAATGTGTTTATGCGGTTTAAAGTTAAAAAAAAACATTATTTTTCACATACTGTACATTATTGTTTCTCCTCTATGCCCCGCCTTTTTGAAACGCGTCGATTTTTACAAAACTAATCGGTCTGAAAAGCGAGGTGTGCTCTGATTAGCCAGCTATCCAGTGCGTTGTGATTGGCCAAATAAAAAAAATGTTCTGGCTCTTCCAAGCTTTATAATGGCAGTGAATGGGGGTCGAGATTTTGAAGCCCAATAAAGCGCACAAATCCATCATAAAAAGTGTCCCACACGGCTCCAGAGGGTTAATAAAGGCCTTCAGAAGCAAATCAAATTCAGAAGCAAATCTTTATGTGGAGCACTTTTTATGATGTATGGATGCCGGGACGCCGCCAGACCCCTCCTCAGCGAGCTGCGCCCTTCTTCCCAGAGGTTCACGACGAGCTGACGAAGTCGTGGCGCGCCCCCTACTCAGCTCGTTTACGCTCCTCTGTCTCTCCCGCCCTCACTACGGTCGACGGCGCTGCACAGAAGGGCTACGATAAGCTGCCTCCTCTGGACGAAGCGGTGGCTGCACACCTCTGCCCCCCCGCTGCCATCGGATGGAAGGCAAAGGCCGCTCATCCCTCGAAGCCCTGCCGAACGACTTCAGCCCTCGCTGGTCGTGCTTACATCTCGGCGGGCCGGGCCAGGCTGCGTCTGCGTTACACTCTATGGCGGTGCTCCAAGTGTACCAGGCGAAGCTCCTTCGCGCCATGGCTGAGTCTGGGCCAGAACACTCTGCAGCGTTCAGAGAGCTGCGCAGCGCTACCGATTTGGCCCTTCGCGCCACAAAGACGACTGCACAGGCCATTGGGAGGTCGATGGCCAGCCTGGTGGTGCTAGAACGCCACTGGCCTTTTCGGACCTGCTGTGGAAGGGTTCGCCGAGCGTTTCACGGCTGCACAGAAGTCGTCCCAAGCCATGCGACACTTCCTGCCGAAGCGTTCCAGTTCTGCAGCTGCTCGATATGGCACCCCAAACCCAAGTTGTGGGCCCTACACTTATGGCCTCTCGATGGGAGCCTATGAACCATTTCTCAGGCTAAATACCATTTAAATACCATTTCTCAGGCTAGAGCCCCGTCCACAAGGCACCTCTATGCTCTCAAATGGTCGGTCTTCACCGCTTGGTGCACGAACCGCGGTGAAGATCCATCCACATATCTTCGATATTGTCCTTCCTTCAAGAGCTGTTGGATAAGGGTCGCACCCCCTCCACTCTTAAGGTCTATGTGGCGGCTATAGCAGCTTTTCATGCTCCTATAGACGGGATATCGGTCGGAAGGAACAACCTCGTTGTTCGATTTTTGGCCATGGATGAGTCTGGGCCAGAACACTCTGCAGCATTCAGAGAGCTGCGCAGCGCCACCGATCTGGCCCTGCACGCCCCAAAGACGACTGCACAGGCCATTGGGAGGTCGATGGCCAGCCTGGTGGTGCTGGAACGCCACTTATGGCTGAATTTGACGGAGATCAAAGAAGCGGATAAAACCATCTTCCTTGAGTGGTGCTAGACCCCCACTGGCCTTTTCGGACCTGCTGTGGAAGGGTTCGCCGAGCGTTTCACGGCTGCACAGAAGTCGTCCCAAGCCATGCAACACTTCCTGCCGAAGCGTTCCAGTTCTGCAGCTGCTGCCAGTCGCCCCAAGCCGGCGTCGACTCAACAGCCAGTTAAGACTACGCCTCCTGTAACTCAGCCCTCTGCACGGCCTGAGCCCAGGCAGCACTCGCGCTCTTAAGCGAGTTGGAGATTTACAGGCGCTCTCTGTGAGCCCCTCCTGCATTGAATTCTGGCCTAACGACTCCAATGTCGTCCTGAAGCCTAGGCATGGTTACGTACCTAAGGTGCTCTCTACCCCATTCAGAGCACAAGTAATCACGCTCTCTGCGCTCCCCCCCTTGCAGGAGGACCAGGAGCCCTGAGCCCAGGCAGCACTCGCGCTCTGCAAAGCGCTACCCTTTCCCGAAGCGCCAGGGTCCAAGATTGTGCTGGACCCTACGCCTCAGAAGCCATCCTGATCCCTCTGGAAGGAAGAGGAGGGGTCAAAGTCTCGCTGTGGCCGGACCACCCCCCAAACTGCCTCGTATATGTTCCCAGTCGCCCCGTCTAGTTCCGGGTGCTGGGAAAAATGTGTTTATTGCATGCAAAGGGCCCGTTCTAGCGCCCAAGTGTACAACCGCTGTGATAGCGGACAAAATAAAACACAAACATACTCAAAAAGAGAGCAAATTTCCTCTTCCAAACACGGCGAGCCCCGGGTCCCTTCACAGCAACCCGCCGCCCGAACCAATCTCCTCACCGTCCACCTTAGTCAGGTTCTACAACCTGGACGTCCCTGCATTGCAGGCTCAGGTCCTTTCTGCTTAACTGTCTCTCTGAGCTCAAA